CCCAAGACTCACCTGGTACCAACAGACACACTCAAAGCCGGCCCGACCTGGGAACTGGTAGCCAAATTATTTTTGAAGAAAGCCCAGCTCCACCAGGACCCAAACCTACGACCTTCCGATCCTCAGGCGAGCATCTCTAGCTGGGCCTCGCCATGGCTACTCCCAGGTGATAACAGTCGCATCATATTATTTACTATAATTGTTACATTATATGAATTGCATGGCAGCTATTTGATGATTATAATTCAGCAACTAAGTGTAAGTAACATTTTATGTATTCATAGTTCCTAGCAGCTATGATAGCTAACTAAATACTAAATTTATTCATACTTTAATTATTTCAAATATATTTTAAAAATATTTGTTATTTTATTTACTTTACTTATTTATTATTAAATTTCTAATATTAATACAATGATATATCTAAAGAAGCAAGTTCTGATACAGACAACATAGACCTTTATAATCATGAGGAAGTAATCAATTCACCCACATTAAACGAACTATGATTTGCTGACGACCAGTGCTTGTTCTACCCTGAAGAAGATAGACTGCAAGACCACATTAACAGGTTAAACTCGGCATGCAGTAAATACAACATGAAGATCAATGTAAACAAAACCGAAACAATGCAAGTTAGTAGAACCCCTGCCCACTACACATACAGCTTAATGGTTCTGCCCTGAATCAAGTTAGGGAGTTTAAATATCTAGGAAGTATGATCACAAAAGATAGTAGAATTTACAGAGAAATAGAAACCAGATGTCAGAAAGCAAGTGCACTTATATACCAATTGTCACCATTATTAAGACATCCAAGCCTAACTAAGAGTGCAAAGAGACAGATTATTAATAGCATATTTATTCCAACATTAAGCTACCAGTGCCAAACATGGACACTATCTAAAGCACATATACGCAAAATCACCACCTGCGAGATGAGGTGCCTGAGAAAAGCAGCCAACCTAATCATCCGAGATCGAGTGAATAATGAAACTGTCAGGCAAATTGTGGGAACGACACCTTGTACTAGATTCATCAAGAAACAGCAGATCAAGTGGTTTGGCTATCTTGTTAGAATGCAGCAAGATCAAATACCATCACAAGCACTACATCTCAAAAGGTTAGCTACAAGAGCAAGAGGATGGCCGCGGAAAATATGGATTGACAACATTAAGGACACTCTCCTCCTTAAGGGTATGACAATAGCTATTGGCAGCCAACGTGCACTGGATTGCAAATTATTCCTCCCCACGGCACCTAATGGCAGAAGTGGTTTATGATGATGATGAAAAAATGGTACTTCCTGAGCCAAAGATCGTTCAGGACTTAACAACTGTATTTTTAGTATTTTAACTCTGAGTACTAGAGGGTTTAGCATCAGAGGCCCAAAGGTTGGTAATGCCATTTTTTAATTTCACAAGTGTAACAGCAACACATTAAAACAGACCACACTAATTCAGCTGCTGTGTAACACACACACACACTATATATATCAAAGCGAACAAGGGATTATTGAGGAATAATATTTGAATGCTGCTATAACAGATAATTTTGTTAATTGTTAAAGATTTGTAAATAAACCAATGACCAAAAGCATGTTAAGAAAAATTTGTAAAATGAAATAATTTTCCGCTTACCACCAGTCTACAGCACTCAAGGAAAACTCAATAAAATATATCCAAAATAAATCAGAAGTGAACATGAACCATTTAGTAATGTCTAAGAATTTAAATTCAGTCCATACATTAGATCTAGTTCCTGAGAAACTTTTGTAACATCATAGCAGAGCAACATTATTATGTAAAGAGAACTGACTTTCCAAAACAATTAGCATCTTCCTGCAAAACGAAGTTTATATAAGACTTAATTTGCCTGTAATTTTGTAGTTATGTTTCTAAATAATAAGGGCAATAGCACTAGAATTAACTGACATGGGGGGGGGGGGGGAACCTTTTTCACAAGTTTTTGTGTGTGTATGTACCAGTTGACTGTTATCTTTTTATGCTGTGCATAAGATGTATATTCGGGCTATCCCTCATCAAAGTTTGACTCTGCCAATGACAAAAATAATCTGCTTCACAACTTTCTCCATCTAACTTTGGATAAATATGAATAATACTTGTTTGATTTAAATTTGAGACTTCTAAAGTAAATCCTGCTGGCATGCATGTAGAATACTGATTGAAATCCATCTTATTTTCGAACAAACACTTAGTAACTCGGTTAAGCTCGCAAACTTTAAGGTTTTTAACCATGTTTCCAAATAAAGCTGATGGTCAGTGTGTGTGATACTGAACACAAAGAACTGGAGAGCTAGTTTTAATTGTACAATTCATGTTTCTACATTAGATTCACTGTTCAGAAAGCAAGTTTCTGTTCATAAACTGCCCCCACCTCACCCTGAAAACTTTTTTTAGAAAAGAAATTATTTCAAAACAAAGTTGTTCCACTGTATCCCAGCATTTCTCCACCTCCGTGAGAGATAATTGACTGGCACTATTCACACTCTTAACTCTTTCAGTCCCGAGCAGTTGTTATTTTAACTCCTTCTACTCTAAAGTGTTGAGCTTAAAAAGCAGTAAATAGCTTGGTCCTAAGGAGTTAAGCATAGTATAGACACTAGGAAACATAAGAAGTTGAACTAGTAGTCAAGACAGTAATGAATGCTATAACATTCTTCTGTGACAGAAAACAGCTTGTCAGTTATATTATCTTTGCACTGATCTAGAAACGCATGGTGAGTGGTTTGGGACTGAAAGCATTTAAAACCAGCAAGTGAAACTAGAACACATATAGAGAGAGTTTATGCCACTGACTCTTGATTGGTTAAGAGGCAGCCAGTAGTATGCTTGTGATACATCTGTGCGTTGCAAACTATTGCAGACAGGTTCATGGTGCTGTGAGCAAGGTCATAACTCAGAGCATTCACAGACAAGAAACATCTGCGGTGGTAAACCCTGGATGCTAAAGTCCATTGGCTGATAAAGGAGAAATCTTGGTTGGTTAAAGCAGATGACACAGTGGACAAGTGTGAATATTAGTAGAGGAGAGAAATGACGAAACTGCTTGAGTAAAGACTTGTGTTATAATAATCACAGTCATGGCAGCGGGTACCCTGTACTTATCCAGCCCTGGATGTCACATTTAATTTCATTGTTTCAGCTGTATGTGTTCATTTGTCCAGCCCTGGATGTCACATTTGATTTCATTGTTTCAGCTGTAGGTGTTCATTTGTCCAGCCCTGGATGTCACATTTAATTTCATTGTTTCAGCTGTATGTGTTCATTTGTCCAGCCCTGGATGTCACATACATTTGATTTCATTGTTTCAGCTGTATGTGTTCATTTGTCCAGCCCTGGATGTCACATACATTTGATTTCATTGTTTCAGCTGTATGTGTTCATTTGTCCAGCCCTGGATGTCACATTTGATTTCATTGTTTCAGCTGTATGTGTTCATTTGTCCAGCCCTGGATGTCACATTTGATTTCATTGTTTCAGCTGTAGGTGTTCATTTGTCCAGCCCTGGATGTCACATTTAATTTCATTGTTTCAGCTGTATGTGTTCATTTGTCCAGCCCTGGATGTCACATACATTTGATTTCATTGTTTCAGCTGTATGTGTTCATTTGTCCAGCCCTGGATGTCACATTTGATTTCATTGTTTCAGCTGTATGTGTTCATTTGTCCAGCCCTGGATGTCACATTTAATTTCATTGTTTCAGCTGTATGTGTTCATTTGTCCAGCCCTGGATGTCACATTTAATTTCATTGTTTCAGCTGTATGTGTTCATTTGTCCAGCCCTGGATGTCACATTTGATTTGATTGTTTCAGCTGTATGTCTTTATTTGTCCAGCCCTGGATGTCACATTTAATTTCATTGTTTCAGCTGTATGTATTTATTTGTCCAGCCCTGGATGTCACATACATTTGATTTCATTGTTTCAGCTGTATGTGTTTATTTGTCCAGCCCTGGATGTCACATTTGATTTCATTGTTTCAGCTGTATGTATTCATTTGTCCAGCCTTGGATGTCACATTTAATTTCATTGTTTCAGCTGTATGTGTTTATTTGTCTAGCCCTGGATGTCACATTTGATTTCATTGTTTCAGCTGTATGTGTTTATTTGTCTAGCCCTGGATGTCACATTTAATTTCATTGTTTCAGCTGTATGTGTTTATTTGTCTAGCCCTGGATGTCACATTTGATTTCATTGTTTCAGCTGTATGTGTTTATTTGTCTAGCCCTGGATGTCACATTTAATTTCATTGTTTCAGCTGTATGTGTTTATTTGTCTAGCCCTGGATGTCACATTTAATTTCATTGTTTCAGCTGTATGTGTTTATTTGTCTAGCCCTGGATGTCACATTTAATTTCATTGTTTCAGCTGTATGTGTTTATTTGTCTAGCCCTGGATGTCACATTTGATTTCATTGTTTCAGCTGTATGTGTTTATTTGTCTAGCCCTGGATGTCACATTTAATTTCATTGTTTCAGCTGTATGTGTTTATTTGTCTAGCCCTGGATGTCACATTTAATTTCATTGTTTCAGCTGTATGTGTTTATTTGTCCAGCCCTGGATGTCACATTTAATTTCATTGTTTCAGCTGTATGTGTTCATTTGTGCAGCCCTGGATGTCACATTTAATTTCATTGTTTCAGCTGTATGTGTTTATTTGTCTAGCCCTGGATGTCACATTTAATTTCATTGTTTCAGCTGTATGTATTCATTTGTCCAGTCCTGGATGTCACATTTAATTTTAATGTTTCAGCTGTATGTGTTTATTTGTCACATGTAAACAAAATTTATTAGAGAAATCTTTATTATACCAATATGGTGTGAGCCATTTTTGGAATATTCCAGGTGCTGTGATATCGGTTATTAACTCTTGAGTAATAAGTCAAGGTCAGGATCACATTTACATGAATTTAATTATTAGTGGATAGCTTAATTTTTTATCACATCCGCTATTTATAATTTTTGTTTTATTTCTCAGCTGAGGGAGAAGAAATTTTCCAACACAGAAAGTAAGTAACCAAAGAAAGTTTGTACATATATTACTCTGTGCTTGAGTTTTGCAAGGTCTGGTCTGGTAGTCTTAGTTTCAGCTTCATAGCAAACGGGTCACCCCATCTTTGCTTTGCTCCTGTGCCAGCGAAAAACACACAGAATGTTTATCACAGTCCATTGTGGAAAGATTGGCAGACTGCTGTCTCAGCATATCTAGCATACACTCGCATTAAAGCATATGGTAGCCACCCGAAGTGCTAACACAAACTGTCCGAGGTTAGAAATGCATTTCATCATTGATGGTAGCAGAAGTCACCCAAAAAAAAAATCATCAGTTGCCCACGCGATCAATTTTAATCACATACGGGCACCACCAATTATACAACAGGCATCGCGCCATTTTCTGAATCTACAGTTCACACCACCACATTGGTTACAGTTGAAAAAACATTCCAAATGAAATCCGCAGCTAACAGTGTTACGCCATGCATTCAACTCAGAAGCTGGGCGACGAAACTATATCCAGTCTACAAATGGAGCAAAAATGCATCGGCCACCGCCCGGCAGAAGCAAACAATTTGCCTCGGCTCTGAACAGTGGCCCTGCCTAACATCCATTTTGACCGATTATTCTATGCTATCTGGTGCCATTGATTCCTGTTTAACTCACTAGGGATTTTAAGTGTTAGAATTCTAACATAAAGATAAGATCATATTCATACTTACTAGAAAGAAATGTAATTGATAATAAAATAGAAAAGTGACCATTGCGCTGGGATCTGCTGCTTCTGGTCTCAGTGAAATGATTGGCAGTGGCAAACTGCTGGTGCTTTTGTAAAATAACTGGCTACTTTTGATGTAAACAGCGTAAAGCTACTGAAAGTTGGAGTAAAATTTGGCATTGAACACCAGTACACAGAGTGAACTGTGGTATTGAACACTAGTACACAAGAGTAAAATGTGGTATTGAACACTAGTACACGTAGTAAAATGTGGCATTGAACACTAGTACACGTAGTAAAATGTGGCATTGAACACTAGTACACAGAGTAAAATGTGGCATTGAACACTAGTACACAGAGTAAAATGTGGCATTGTACACTAGTACACAGAGTAAAATGTAACATTGAACACTAGTACACGTGGTAAAATGTGGCATTGAATATTAGTACACGGAGTAAAATGTGGCATTGAATACTAGACGGAGTAAAATGTAACATTGAACACTAGTACACGGAGTAAAATGTGGCATTGAATATTAGTACACGGAGTAAAATGTGGCATTGTATACTAGTACACGGAGTAAAATGTAACATTGAACACTAGTACACGGAGTAAAATGTAACATTGAACACTAGTACACATACAAGTGGCACACTGTACACACCGGAAGTCCTACCATTCTTACCATGCATACACTTTTTGGGAGAGACTGACTACCTCAAGTGTTATGTCAAGAAAATATACTACTAATGCAAAGAAAGAAATAACATGGGATGCATGTAAGAAACGTGCTAGCCTGAGGTATGTAGTGCTATAGGTAACTTATTGTACCCTAAGGAATTTTTTTTTAAACAGAAATTGAAAGTAAAGAAAGGTAGTTTTAAATTATTATTTAATTTTTTTTTAATTTAAAAAAAAAAAAGTCAAGTGTGAGACTTGCAGAAAATTACTGAGAACATTTAAGAAACAGTATACTAAAAGAGAAATGCTATAGCAAATTATATAATGTTTTGCAGCTGATAATATTGTTATCGTTTAACAGGAAAAGCTGTGAAACGCAAATGGCGCGAAGAAAAACTTCTAGCTCAGATGAAAAAGGATCGGCAGTTGCGACTTGAAAAGGAGGCTAAGACCAAAGAAGAAGAGGAAGAGAAAATAAAGAGAAGTAGATGTGGACGCCATTACACAGTTGCTATTGCTCTACCTGGATCTATCTTGGACAACGCCCAGTCAATGGAACTAAGAGCCTACCTGGCTGGACAGGTAAGAACAATGTTCTTATGATAGCTAGGTAGTTAGTCGACAAATTATTCTCATTGCACGTCGAACCACTCAGTCCATAAGTGCTAGGATCCCCTCCTCAGCAAATCCCACAACGTGTAGCGGCTAACAACACCAGTTCTGTGTTGGGTTATTATTCTTCTTTGGCTACCCGCGTAGTGTTCTTGTTTGGCGGAAACCTGTTTAACTTGTTGATCTTGCAGTCTGACCATAGTTGCAAATTTAAAGTTCTCAGGTGGCTCACGCAAACGTCTAAGAGCATGTCTTAACTCTCTTAGGGCATTCAGTATATCAGCCTGGTCCATGGCTTGTCTGGCTTTCACAGTAGCCTTACCTGCAAGCCTGTCAGCTTGCTAATTTCCTTGTACCCCCAAATGTCCTGGCACGAAAATAAAACTAATCCTTGTCTGCCATAAATTCTTATGATAGCTATCACACATCTTGTTCCGATTGGTCTATAAAAATATAGGTTTAGCCCTTTATGCCCTATACGCCTGATGGTGTAGAAAAGGGTCCTTTACTTTACTTTATATATATCTATATATGATGTTCTTATGATAGCTAGGCAGTATTCACAGTTGTAGCAGTTGATGATGCTCAGATTATGTTCAAACATCTAAAAATGTGTGTGTGCACACATGCATCTGTATGTCTGGGGAGAACTATGACTGTATGCCCTTGTCTGCAGGGCATATTGCATGTGACAGAGAAGGATATATATTTTTTTGTCTATGACTAGGTCTTGTGGATTATTGTTCCCTATACTTAGGATCAAACAGCACTGTCCCAGATCTTTATATTTAGTGCATGAGAGATAGAGATGCAAGCTTTTCTCTCCTTTTGGATTAACTCAGTTGGTGTATCATTACAGTCTAGTGACCTGGTGTTGGAAGGATATTGACATTAGCAGATGATGTTCTTGCATATAGACAGGGCAGAGATAAGCAACAAACAGCCCAAATGCTACAGGCAACAATAGATAAAATGACTGGCTGGTGTGCAAAAATGGGCATTGTCGTAATCCAGAAAAGGCAGCTGTTTTATGGTGCTCTCTGGACAATAGGATTGTTAGAGCCGATGTCCCAACCCTTACAGTTAAGGTCAGATATCTACAGAGAAAGCAAACTGAGTTGCCTAGTACCTGGGTCATCTTTGGCAGAAACCTGTCTTTTAGGGAGGTGAAGGCAGTTGCAGCAAAATTCCAAAAATGGCTACACGGAGCAAAGAATGCTGCTAACAGTGTACCAGCACTTGATCATCTGTCTGATGGATTATGAACTGTGACCACTCACTGAAAGAAAGACTCACCTGGTAAAGCTTTACAGCACACAGAATAAAGCCATGTCCATGATTCTGGTATATGCAAGAAATCCCCCATTAGTATGTATGTAATACATCCTTGCACTGATGACTGTTACAGACTGTTGGCTCAAAATACTATAAGCACTTGTAAAGTGGCCAAAAGGCCCCAAAAAATATCTTCAAGAAGCCCTGGATGTAGCTAAGGGTCACAAACTGATAAGACGCAGTTCTTGGACAAGGCAAATAGAAAACACAGTAGAGATGTATGCACTTGAAAATACTTGGCGAGGAAAGGATAATTTTCAGTCCTAGGAAATGCATCATACGTTCATAGGTTCCTACTGAAAAGCCCAATGAACGTAAGATGCCCTGATTGTATGTTTTTCTTTAACAACCCCTTGTGCTTCTGATGCTAAACCCCTAGGACTGAAAGTTAAGGTCAAAGGCTCAGAGCAAAAATCAGACTTTTGTCTCAATATAATCTAAAGGTTTTGAAGGAGGCTAACCCACAAAGACTTTTGGATGATATGAAATGAAACAAACTAGGCAATGAAATGAAACAAACTAGGCAATGAAATGAAACAAACTAGGCAATGAAATGAAACAAACTAGGCAATGATATGAAACAAACTAGGCAATGAGATGAAACAAACTAGACAATGTGACAGCCAGACAGATTTATGGAAAGTGAGATAAAAGAAGACAAAATGAGAAAATTCATCAGCAAACAATGTGCTAATTTGTGCCCGTGGGGATTGTAGAATGTGAAGTATCACCTCATATGCCACTCGGTAAAGCGCTTAATGATGATGTAATTAGCTCAGTGTGTTTAATTTTCTGTTCATTTTATTATTTGATTTATTTGACTTATGAACTGATTTTCTCTTGTGCTTGCAGGTAGCACGTGCAGCTGCCATCTTCAATGTTGATGAAATTGTAATTTTTGATGAAACAAGCCAGGCCAAGTAAGTATCCATTTTATGACTTGCATTGGAATAGCACTTAAACCAAATATACACACAGTTAGTTGACTAACACCTTGCCTGCACATTGAACCATTCTGTAAGCTAGTGCTCACATGCCTTCCTCAGTGTACCCATCAGTGTGCTACTGACATCATCAGTTCTGTGTTCGTTGACTGTTCTTCATTGGCTCCCAGAAAAACACTTTTATTTGGTGGCATCACCTTGTCTTGTCTTGTCGTTATTGCACCTGATTCCCGGAGTTGCCCTGCCATTTATGGAGCATTCAGTTCATCAGCTTACTGTATTGCTGAGCCACTTTCCACAGCAGCCTGGTCAGCGAGCCTGTCAGTTGTTTTGATTGCTATTGTTTCCCTGATTGTTGTTTATTATACATTTGAGTTATAGGACTTGACATAGCAAAAATATGTTTCATTATTGTATGTCCTTTGTTATTGTTTTCTGTCATTATTCTTCTTCTTCTGCCTTTCTAGTCCCCAATGGAGCATAGGCCCTCAACCAACTCTTGCTAAGTCGTTCTGTCCTTTGCTGTCATATGCAGTCCTCCCCATTTTTCGAACTTTTTGGCCTTCCTTTGTTCCTATGCACCTGTGGGTTCCAGTGCAAAGACATTTTAGTTATATAGTTTTAGGTTTTCTCAATGTGTATCCTATCCAATGCCAGCGTTTTTTCTTCACTTCTTGGTCCACTTGAGCTTGCTTAGTTCTCTCCCTGTAATTATTACTGAAGAAAAATATAATTAGTGCATGAAACATCAAAGAGAAATTCACAAATAAAATAAAACATAAAAACAAAGCAACAAAAAAAAAACCAACAGAGAAAAACATTGACCAGACTGGGATATACATTAAAAATATAATTGAAAATACTGCAAAAGAATGCCTTGGTGCATCGAGCATAAGTAGTAAAAACAATTGGTTGAATAAAAAATGTAAAGAAACAATTACTGAGAAAAACGTTGCCAGACAGATGGAGCTCAATGACACCAATAACATACATTTTCATAATGTTTACATCCCCACTAATTACTGGCATCATGAGGGCTAATAGACTTCACTGGTTGTGGCATAAAGAGAGAATACCAGATAACAGAGACAACAACTATGGGCACAGAACAGTTTAGTAGAAGTAGACCATGAAGCAATAAAGAGGTAATACATAATGCAGACGTGCAAACAAGTGGAGCCACCAACTGAAAAGTGAAGACCAACTACCGAGATGAATGGGGGTGATATCTGCAGTAGTGAACTTCAAGGGCTCAGAATTCTGAAGAAGTAGTAGGTGTTGATTACATTAGGATTCTGATCAGTTTATTGGTGTTGATTACATTATGATTCTGATCAGTTTATTGATGTTGCATGAATGTTTGTCTTTCCAGACAGGACCCTTCAGAGTTTAGTGGTCTGAAAAAGCCTGGACATGGCAACACACAACTGTTTCACATTCTTCAGTATTTAGAATGTCCACAGTATCTTCGCAAAATGTTTTTTCCTTATCACCAGGATTTGAAGTATGCAGGTTAGTTTTCATGTGCTGTTATTGTAATTTATAGATAACTAGATTTAGTGAACTAGATTGTTGAGAAATAGAGCACTGCTCCTCTGACCGACAGCTTCTGCAGACTGCTTTGTTCCAAACATACTGGTGTTATCTTTTCTTTGGAGTAAACAAGGCAGGTAGAGAGAGAGGGATCATGATGCATGGGCAACATATGGTCTCTACAGTTACTGCCCAGGCTTTGTGCTATAGAGAGGATTTGCCTCATCCCTGGCCATAAGTGGTCTTGGAAACAAATCGAGAAGCAGCAGTTACAGGTTTTAAGTCCTTGTCAGTTGGCATAGACGAGGGTGCCACGGGTTGCCTCTGGCGGTGGGTGGCATCTTCGAATGTCACTGATCAATTATCACCTGCCTCAAGCTGGGCAGCTACCAGCCGATAAGGTGTTGATCCACCACAGCCTGTATGCTTCAGTGGGTGCTTGGAGCTAGGACAATATGTGAATCATAGGCTGTAAAAACCAATCTCTTGGAATTAAGGACCTTGTGTCCTGGGTTTCCCATTGAGCCGAAAAATGGCATTGATGTAAGAAATATGGCTGTCATTGATGATATTGATATTGCTGGCCTACAGAAAACATGTCTACCATAGGATGGGTCCATTAAAGAAAATAATTATGCATTCTATTCTAAAGGCAGAGGCCAAAAGAAAATCTGTAGCATGAAGTGGGATTTTCAGTAAAGAATTCACTGCTGGGATCAGTTGAGTGTCCAACTGGGGAAAAAGACTCACTGTTGGGATCAGTTGAGTGTCCAACTGGGGAAAAAGACTCACTGTTGGGATCAGTTGAGTGTCCAACTGGGGAAAAAGACTCACTGTTGGGATCAGTTGAGTGTCCAGCTGGGGAAATAGACTCACTGTTGGGATCAGTTGAGTGTCCAGCTGGGGAAATAGACTCACAGAAGGGATCAGTTGAGTGTCCAACTGGGGAAAAAGACTCACATACTCCTTTTTTCAAAACTAAAGACCGCAATAAGGTGTCATGGAAACATCCGAGATCTGGCCACTGGCACCATCTGGACCTTATTCTCACAAGGATGCAGCACTTGAAACTGTGCATCACTAACTCGCAGCTACCACAGTGCTGGCTGTGATACTGACCATTCCCTAGTTACTGCAATAAAACTACAAATTATTTTCACTTCAAAAAACAAATATATCCCCAGATTGAATATTTCCAAAACTAAAGACCCTGAAAAGTGTTTTTGAGTTCCAACAGCAGCTCGAAGATGCTTTCACTGATATCCAGGATAACTCTACAGCAAGCTTAAAATGTGATGCAATTAAGGAAACTGTCTACAAACAATTGCCCTGGAGAACATAGAAATAAGGACTGGTTTGAAGCAAATATCCAGACCCTCCAACCCTTAATTGACAGCAGAAGGTTAATATACCTCAGAAACAAGGAAAGAGCACCAAGGAATGCTTTTAGTGAATTGAGAGAAGCAAAAGGTAGCTAGATAGTATGCCAATGACTGGTGAGTCCAGTCAAGACCGTCATCTTCTATGCCACTCTGTCATCTCATCCAGCATACCCCTTCTGTCATCTCATCCAGCATACCCCCTTTTTCATCTCATCCAGCATACCCACTCTGTCATCTCATCCAGCATACCCCCTCTGTCATCTCACCCAGCATGCCCCCTCTGTCATCTCATCCAGCATACCCCCTCTGTCATCTCATCCAGCATGCTCCCTCTGTCATCTCATCCAGCATACCGCCCCTGTCTTCTCATCCAGCATACTCCCTCTGTCTTCTCATCCAGCATACCCCCTCTGTCATCTCATCCAGCAAACCCCCTCTGTCATCTCATCCAGCATACCCCCTCTGTCATCTCATCCAGCATGCCCCCTCTGTCTTCTCATCCAGCATACCCCCTCTGTCTTCTCATCCAGCATGCCCCCTCTGTCATCTCATCCAGCACACCCCCTCTGTCATCTCATCCAGCATGCTTTCTCTGTCATCTCATCCAGCATGCTTTCTCTGTCATCTCATCCAGCATGCTTTCTCTGTCATCTCATCCAGCATGCTTTCTCTGTCATCTCATCCAGCATGCTCCCTCTGTCATCTCATCCAGCATGCTCCCTCTGTCATCTCATCCAGCATGCCCCCTCTGTCATCTCATCCAGCATGCTTTCTCTGTCATCTCATCCAGCATGCCCCCTCTGTCATCTCATCCAGCATGCCCCCCCTCCCCAGTTTCTAATCTGCTATAAAATATGAACTGCTGCAGTCAGTAAACAAATACTGTTGAGTCCACTTCAGTTGAACTTGGATAAGTCAAATTTTGGATAAGTAGACATGACCAGCTTAGTCCCGGCAATTTTCTATATTGTTTGTGCTGCCTGGATAAGTAGAAGTCCTGATAAGTGGAAGCATTTTCTTAGGTCCCTTAGACTTCTACTTATGCAGACTCGACTGTAGTTATCAGTGAGTATGACATCTTTATGTGTGTATGTATATATCCCCAACAGGTCTTCTAAACCCACTGGACATTCCCCATCACTTGAGAGAGTCAGATTTTTGTGAGTACAGAGAAGGTGTCACACTGAACAAACCTATCAGTGCCAAGAAGGAGAAAGGATCTTACGCTAATGTTGGCCTCAAAAAGGTTTGGCAGTTCTCGCTTGCATTCTGTTTGAATAAATTGCTTTAGAAAGTATCTGTGTTTGATATTCATCATCAATCAGCAAGTCCTTTACAGAACGTCGCTCTCTTCACAGCACGTCTGAAAGTATCCCATTCCCTAGCCAGCTTTCCAGCCCCATCTGCTTTCAATGCCAATGCACCTTAGTGTGAGAATGAGATGCTGTATGTGCGTGTGGGAACCTACGTGAAGCTACATGTCAAGTGGGAAGCTGTGGGAAGCTTAATATGCTTGTGGGAAGCTAAGTGTCGAGTGGGAAGCTGAATATGTGAGTGGCAAGCTAAATGTGAAAGTGGCAAGCTAAATATGAAAGCAGCAAGCTAAATGTGACAGTGGCAAGCTAAATGTGAAAGTGGCAAGCTAAATGTTAATGGCAAGCTAAATGTGAAAGTGGCAAGCTAAATGTGACAGTGGCAATGCTAAATATGACAGTGGCAAGCTAAATGTGACAGTGGCAAGCTAAATGTGACAGTGGCAAGCTAAATGTGACAGTGGCAAGCTAAATGTGAGATGGCAAGCTAAATATGAAAGTGGCAAGCTTAATGTGAAAGTGGCAAGCTAAATATGACAGTGGCAAGCTAAATGTGACAGTGGCAAGCTAAATGTGACAGTGGCAAGCTAAATGTGACAGTGGCTAGCTAAATGTGAGAGTGGCAAGCTAAATGTGAGAGTGGCAAGCTAAATGTGACAGTGGCAAGCTAAATGTGACAGTGGCAAGCTAAATGTGAGAGTGGCAAGCTAAATGTGAAAGTGGCAAGCTTAATGTGACAGTGGCAAGCTAAATGTGAAAGTGGCAAGCTAAATTTGACAGTGGCAAGCTAAATGTGAAAGTGGCAAGCTAAATTTGAGAGTGGCAAGCTGAATGTGACAGTGGTAAGCTAAATGTGAGAGTGGCAAGCTAAATGTGAGAGTGGCATTTTTTATGTGACAGTGAGAAGCTAAATGTGACAGTGGCAAGCTAAATGTGACAGTATAAAAGCTAAATGTGACAGTGTTCATTAAGCTAAATGTTTTAGTGGCATATCTAAATGTGACAGTGGCATGCTAAATGTGAAAGTGGCAAGCTAAATGTGACAGTGGCATGCTAAATGTGAAAGTGGCAAGCTGAGTGTAAGAGTGAAATTTTTTATAAGATAGTGAGAAGCTTCAAGCAACAGTGGGAAGCTGGATAAGGCAAAAAGAAGAGTATAAAAGCGAGAAGTCTGTTCCTTGTTCATTTATTATTGTTGTGTAGTGTCCGACTAGAAGTCCATTTTATTATTTGAGACTCACAAACAACTTTCTAAAATTGGGTGCATGCATGCTTGTCATCATCATCAAGTGCCTTGTCAGCTGGTAAAGGCGTTCATGAGTCTCCACAGATCTCAGTCTTTGGTGTTCTGGATCAATGCCACTGATGATATTCCACCATGCCACTGTCTTAAGCCTCTGCATCTACCAGTGATCTTTCCAGTCATCACAATATTTTCTAGTGCCCCTTTTCTCATCACATGACCAAAGAACTTTGTTTGTCTCCTTCTCATTGTTGAATATATAATGTTCTACTTTCATTAGCCATTTTCTAAGCAATCACTGTTAGTTATTCTGGCAGTCAAAGGTATTCTCAACATTCTTCTCAAGAACCACATCTCAGTTGCCTTCAAACTCTTCTTAATTTATTTGTTCACATTATAAGATTCACTGCCATACAACAGAACAGGCTCGATATAACATTTCAGTACTCATTTTCTGATGTTTAATTAAAGTTATTTGTTACATAAAATACTTTAAAACTTCTGAAAAGCTGCTTTGCCTGGCCAATTCTGCTCCTAATTTTTGTCACACATCGTCCATCTGATGTTATGAAATGTTCCCAAGTACTTGAATTTATTGACTTGGTTAAGCACTTTCCCTTCTATTGCTTTGTCACATTTTGGAGTGTTCCAGTAAATATTTTTTTTATTATTCTGAGATCTTTTCCATCATTGTTAATATCCTCCAACAATGTTATCATTTCATCATATTTCACTTTATCAAAAGCTTTGGTATAATCTGTGAAGCACAAATATAAGTCTTTCTTCATGCTTGTACATTTCATTAATCTGTTAAATAAATCTCAGATGTGATATTTCATTACTATTTAGAAAAATAAAATTTAATTAATTTTTAAACCTTAATAGGATGTGATATTAAACATGAACATCAAGCCAGGTCAAAGAGTGACTGTCAGACTGAAGGAACAGGATACAGGTATAATAATGAATGTATGCAGGTGTTTGTAAGTTAGCATTAGTGAGTGTCATATGTAACTGGTTCTGGGCCTGTTTGGGTGGTCATTAGTGAGTGTACTATGAGAATCTTCTCTGTGTATGTTTGGGTGGTCATTAGTGAGTGTACTATGAGAATCTTCTCTGTGCATGTATGGGTGGTCATTAGTGAGTGTACTATGAGAATCTTCTCTGTGTATGTTTGGGTGGTCATTAGTGAGTGTACCATGAGAATCTTCTCTGCATGTTTGAGTGGTCATTAGTGAGTGTACTATGAGAATCTTCTCTGTGCATGTATGGGTGGTCATTAGTGAGTGTACTATGAGAATCTTCTCTGTGTATGTTTGGGTGGTCATTAGTGAGTGTACTATGAGAATCTTCTCTGTGTATGTTTGGGTGGTCATTAGTGAGTGTACCATGAGAATCTTCTCTGCATGTTTGAGTGGTCATTAGTGAGTGTACTATGAGAATCTTCTCTGTGCATGTATGGGTGGTCATTAGTGAGTGTACTATGAGAATCTTCTCTGTGCCTGTTTGGGTGGTCATTAGTGGGTGTACCATGAGAATCTTCTATGTGCACGTTTGGGTGATCATTAGTGGGTGTACCATGAGAATCTTCTATGTGCACGTTTGGGTAATCATTAGTGGGTGTACCATGAGAATCTTCTATGTGCACGTTTGGGTGATCATTAGTGGGTGTACCATGAGAATCTTCTCTGTGCACGTTTGGGTGATCATTAGTGGGTGTACCATGAGAATCTTCTATGTGCACGTTTGGGTGGTCATTAGTGGGTGTACCATGAGAATCTTCTATGTGCACGTTTGGGTGATCATTAGTGGGTGTACCATGAGAATCTTCTATGTGCACGTTTGGGTGATCATTAGTGGGTGTACCATGAGAATCTTCTATGTGCACGTTTGGGTGGTCATTAGTGGGTGTACCATGAGAATCTTCTCTGTGCACTGTTTGGGTGATCATTAGTGGGTGTACCATGAGAATCTTCTATGTGCACGTTTGGGTGGTCATTAGTGGAGTGTACCATGAGAATCTTCTATGTGCACGTTTGGGTGATCATTAGTGGGTGTACCATGAGAATCTTCTATGTGCACGTTTGGGTAATCATTAGTGAGTGTACCATGAGAATCTTCTCTGTGCATGTTTGGGTGATCATTAGTGGGTGTACCATGAGAATCTTCTCTGCATGTTTGGGTGTTTTTTAGGGAGTGTACCATGAGAACCTTCTCTGTGCATGTTTGGGTGTTTTTTAGTGAGTGTACTATGAGAATCTTCTCTGTGCATGTTTGGGTGGTCATTAGTGAGTGTACCATGAGAATCTTCTCTGTGTATGTTTGGGTGGTCATTAGTGAGTGTACTATGAGAATCTTCTCTGTGCATGTTTGGGTGGTCATTAGTGAGTGATACCATGAGAATCTTCTCTGCATGTTTGGGTGTTCATTAGTGAGTGTACTATGAGAATCTTCTCTGTGCATGTATGGGTGGTCATTAGTGAGTGTACCATGAGAACCTTCTATGTGCATGTTTGGGTGTTCATTAGCGAGTAGCATAAGAAACCCATGACCAGACTGCAAGAGCAAGATGTTATGAGGTGTGTGGCCAGTCAAGAGTGCTATGCAGGAAGCCAAAGAAGAATAAGAAGAAAACACAGAACTGGTGTTGTGAGCTGCTGCATGCTGCGAGATTTACTAATGAGGGGGTCTGAGCAGTTAAATGGTTCAATGTGCAGTAAGGATAATCTGTCCACAAACAAACTAAAAAAATACTCACTTTGTTTTTTATGTGCATAAGGTTAATATAAAGAGAGGGAGGTATGGAAGGAGGAAAAGACTAGCAGAGTGAGGGAGGTGGAAAGATGAAAAGGGAGAAAACAGATTTGTATTTGCCACACAGTTTATTGACTGCAACATTCCTATTGTAGCCCTATAATTGAGAACTCATATATCTCATAGAGCTACTGACTGCAATGTTCTTTTTGTAGCCCCATAATTGAGAACTCATATATCTCATAGAGCTACTGACTGCAACGTTCTGATTGTAGCCCTATAATTAAGAACTCATATATATCATGGAGCTACTGACTGCAACGTTCTGATTGTAGCCCTATAATTAAGAACTCATAAATCTCATGGAGCTCCTGACTGCAACGTTCTGATTGTAGCCCTATAATTAAGAACTCATAAATCTCATGGAGCTCCTGACTGCAACGTTCTGATTGTAGCCCTATAATTAAGAACTCATAAATCTCATGGAGCTCCTGACTGCAACGTTCTGATTGTAGCCCTATAATTAAGAACTCATGTATCTCATAGAGCAACATTTTCCTTTTTTGTGTAGTAGATGTGTTTAAAAAAACTCACTGGCTAATCACATAACTACTAGTGAGTAATGTACATTTACACACAGGGGAATACTTGTGCAGATGGACAGGGGAATACTTGTGCAGATGGACAGGGGAATACTTGTGCAGATGCACAGGGGAATACTTGTGCAGATGCACAGGTGAATACTTGTGCAGATGCACAGGGGAATACTTGTGCAGATGCTTAACTAACATTTTAAATAGATCTCATGTTGAGATGTTAATTACTATCATCCATTAGTTACCCTCATTTTTCAGACAAGAAGAACCTGGCTGGTGTTGTAGTGTCACCGACTGAACCTCGAGAAACTGCTGGCATTTACTGGGGATACACAGTTCGGGTGGCCTCCTGTCTTAGTGAAGTGTTTACTGAGTCTCCACATGAGGGTGGCTATGACTTGGCCATTGGTACTTCAGAAAGAGGACGGAATGTTGAACACACGGAGATTTCACAGTTCCAGTATGTATGTTTAATGCTTGAGTTCAATAGCTAATGTGAACCACGAATGTTTGATGTGACCTTCAGATTTACTGGTTTGATTACCACAGAAGTTGAGGATGTTGTTTTATACTGAAGCTGCTTTTGATACCAGGGCCAGCTAATATTGTATTATAAGAACTTATAAAATTATAGCGTGAGGGTTTGTTTGCTGAGTAAACAGTGTCTTAAAAACAAACCAGCACAGGCATGAACAGTTAATTCTTGAAAGATGTTCTGTATGGTTGTGTATGTTGGTCAGAAAGTAATGAATAATCTACTCCATCTTGCAGCCTTTGTCTGTGAGATATGAGTCAATGAGAATGTAGGTCATTGGGCAGTATGAAATAGGGTGGATGAAGAAATACCTTCAGAAACAAAACAAATAATGCAGTTTCTCCATTTCTATCACATCCTGTAGAGAACATCTATGGAGATCAAGGAACAATAATGGAACAAATAAAAGTAATATAGTAGTATAAAGAACAACAGGAAACACAAGACACAACCAAAATAAATTAAATATTGTGATAAGAATTAGTTTTCCTCAGTGTCACAACGAGAAGGTAAAGAAAAACTTTTAGTGAAAATGTTTTTAAAAAAAATAATGAATGTTTAAAATCCTCTCAGAACGGGGCATCTTAGTTTTTTTGTTTGCAGTGAGAAAATATATAATACTTTAACGCCCTGCGATATCAGGATAACCAGTCTGATACTTAGCTGTCTCATAAGGACAAAAGGTCGTGGGTTTGCTCCCTGGCGGAGCCGGACTTTTCTTCAAAAATGACCTTGGCTCCCAGGTCGACCCAGCCTTGAGTGGGTACCGGGTGCAGTCCCACGAAGTAGAGGTGGCTGGCGTGATGCCGACCACATCAGCCATCTTGTGCCTTTGGTCTATAAAATATAGGTCTAGCCCTATATGCCTTAAGGCGTGGAACAGGGTCCTTTACTTTACTTTTTTTTTCACAAGGGCAAACATGTAGATTTTCTGACTTATGCCAAACATTCAGGGCCCACTGGCGGTTGATAGTTGTGTGGAGGTTGTCATAGTTGGTCACTGCCATGTTAACATTTCAAGCTTGAGAGAAGTAATCCACATATCTGTGCCATGCAAATCTCTCATGTGGAGAAACTACCACATTCATTTTTTAAAGAATACCGTTCAAGGAGATAAGCATCATGGTATAGTGGAACATTTGTATTAGACATGATTGGCAGTAGTTGAGATAGAAGACTTTTGACACAAGTGATCACCAACGCCCCATTGGCATAGACTGTTTAGGTTTTGATGACGGATCAACACCATAGCACAAGGGTAGTAACCCATGAGTGCTCAGTTCTACTTCTAACTCAAGCCTGAATCTGAAGAATCTCACAAATCTAGATTGTTGATGAAGTAATATGTTGAAACTGGTTTTGAAATAACCTTTCATGATATAGAAAACCACTTTCAGTTCTGTATAATGTGGTCTATGGAACATGAACTTTTTAATGAATAAAATCAGGGATTTATCATTCCCCATTGCTCCGGGATTTATTGCTCCAGGATTTATCACTTCTCATTGCTCCAGGATTTATCACTCCCCATTGCTCAGGGATTTATCACTCCTCATTGCTCTGGGATTTTTTAATGGGCCTATGGTAGCTGTTATTTTGTGCCTTTGTCTGAAGAGACTGACATACAAATGCACTACCCAGAAATCACCTTGTTCTTCAATAAACAAAGAGCTTTGAGACCAATGACATTAATCATATTCATACCTGATATTTTTGGAGTTGAGACAGTCACCATAAGACTAAGCCATGCCGATGTCTGGTTGCACAGAAAAGTGCTTTTATAACAAGGGTTCTTGTGAGTCTATATATCAAATCATCAATGGAAAAAAAGACACCACTGTTTTGATGTGTTAAAACATGTTGTAATTACGACCCTGCTTTCTTCACAATTCAGACATGCTGTTGTTGTTTTTGGTGGGCTCAAAGGACTAGAAGCCAGTTTGGAGGCTGACAGCAACATTCAGTCGGATGACCCTAGTGAACTTTTTCAACATTACGTGAACATTTGTCCAGGCCAAGGTAGCAGAACAATTCGTACAGAGGTATGACTTCTTTTTCTGCAATAATTGTAGTTGACTGCATTCTTGAAGTAAGAGAATTGTTGGATTTAAACTTTCCTTCCAGTATTGCGGCTTATAGATAGACTAGAACCCATTGACTTAGACTGCATTATTCAGTTGCAAATCTTATAGGAACAAATCTGGGGAACTCCTTTTAACCTAGTTAGTTAGTTAGGTTGTCATCACTGCACTCCGGACATGTCCATAGGTGCTCAGATCCTCCCCTCAGTATGAACCCCAATGTCCGATGGCTAATAGTACCAGTTCTAATTTGATTAACAAGTCTTCTGGTATGTCTGGTGTTCATCTCGTTTTTTGCTATGCCGATTTTCATTCCCAAGTCTGTCATTCTGGCGAGTGATGTGGTTTCACTGCCCCCAAAGTCCTATATCCTTTCTATTTCTCTGAGGGCATTAATAATATCAACATGATCCATAGACTGACCGTCGGTAATGATAGTGGATCCAGCCAACCTATCAGCTCTTTCATTTCCGTTTAACCTGATAAGATATAACATATTTAGCACCTGTGATGACAAGGTAGGACCACAATGTCTGGGTTTGATACAGTTACTGATTAGGGTGATCTTTTTAAGGGTATAGTACTGGGAATTTATGAACTGGGAAACTTGAAACAAATTTTGTTTTTTGCCAAGGAGAATTACAGTAGGTAAAGGAAAGGACGTTTTTCCCATGCCTTTAGGCGTATGGGACATATAGACCAATAGGCGCTGGTTGGATGAAATAGTTAGCATCACACCAGCCGCCTTTACTTCTTAGGACTTTACCTGGTACCCATTTAAAGCTGGGTCAGTCTGGCAGCCAGGATCATTCAAACATAAGTCCATCTCTGTTTGGATTTGACCCTATGCCCTTCAAATCTGCAGGAGAGTGCCTAACCATGACACTGTGGTTGCTACACAAATTATACTGTTCACATATTTGATCTTTTTCTTCTTTTGATCTCCTTGTGGTCTTTAATGGTGTCTCAACATTTTCTTTCTCTTATAACTCTTTTGGGTGATATGTTCACTGACACCTTCACTTTGCAAACATTTCATGTACCCATTTTAGGCTGGGAAACCCAGGTTAACTGACATAAATTCCTGCTCAGTGAAGATTTGAAAACATGCCAGTTGGGCTAGCTGGAAAGTGTCATGGTTGCTAAGCTACACTGTCTCCCATTCTGTGCAAATCTGTCTCAATTAATATAGTATATTTATAACTGAGTTGAGTCAAGAATTGACATCACAGCACTCAGGACATTCCCATGCATGCTCCATCCTCATCTTCAGCAGCCAGCACAGAGTTCCAATACTGATAGAACTGGTCACAATCTGGTTAAAAGTCCATCTTGCCTTTCCTCTGAGTGTAGTGAGCCGGCCAGACCCTCTGATTACATCCGGGTGCCTCTTTCTCTTCAGGTTATAATAATCTTCTATCTCTACTGGTTCCGTTGCTTGTAACTAAAGGGCGTTGACCACATCTGCCTTGTCACTTATCAGTTCACCACCCAGTGGTGCAGATCCAGCCAATCTGTCTGCCTGTTCAATACCCACCACGCCGGCATGGCCTTGAGAAAATATTCAAAGTATGCTCACTAAATGTGACCTTTTCAGTGAAGCTTGCCATTCTGCTCAAAGCATCCGTGTCTTCACCTTTCCCAGCATGCTTATTTAAGAACAAGGGAAGACAAGTTATGGTAATTACAAGAAAGACCAAATGCATCAAAGTAAATGTGACTGATTTTAAGGCAGTTCTTGGATAGATAGATAGATAGATAGATAGATAGATAGATAGATAGATAGATAGATAGATAGATAGATAGATAGATAGATAGATAGATAGATAGATAGATAGATAGATAGATAGATAGATAGATAGATAGATAGATAGATAGATAGATAGATAGATAGGTAGGTAGGTAGGTAGGTAGGTAGACAGGTAGATAGATAGATAGTTAGATAGCTGGACAGGTAGGTAGAGATAGATAGATAGATAGATAGATAGATAGATAGATAGATAGATAGATAGATAGATAGATAGATAGATAGATAGATAGATAGATAGATAGATAGATAGATAGATAGATAGATAGATAGATAGATAGATAGATAGATAGATAGATAGATAGATAGATAGATAGCAAGTGTGACATAGAGTTGTGTGTCACTAGAATATAAGTGGGTGATAGGTATGGGGATCTTCAACTGTGATGCAAGTGTGACATAGAGATGTGTGTCACTAGAACATGAGTGGGTTATAGGTATGGGGTCTTTAACTGTGTGGCAAGTGTGACATAGAGATGTGCGTCACTAGAACATGAGTGGGTTATAGGTATGGAGTCTTCAAGTGTGTCACAAGTGTGACATAGAGATGGGCGTCACTAGAACATGAGTGGGTTATTGGTATGGAGTCTTCAACTGTGTGACAAGAGTGACATAGAAGCATGGTGCCTGTTTCTGTATAACGGAGTGGTGTGGAGGTATGGATCCACCGATGAGAGAGGGGTGACATAGAGACGTTCTTTTCTAGACCAAGTGCAGCATCAACTCATGAAATTTGAAATACTGTTCTACCTTGGTACGCGAATCTATCCATACCCCTAATTTCTGCCATTTATCAAAATACATGGTTCAATAAACACTTTTCCTAGTGCCGAATGGTACATGATTTCCGTTTCGTGCGTTTTGATGATCAGTAAGCCCAAAGTTGGCACAAGCCTCGGAGAATCTGTCTTTATTATACTGCACACACGCTTCTGAACCAACAGTAAGAACACGATCAACAGATGATCCATAATAACACATGATTTAACTTTGGTTTTTGCTTTAAGCTCAATGGGTTGAAGAGTTGTAATTTAATGATGCGTAGGTGATATCCGTGAATGTATCGCCATCACACACACAAAATCGAACAACATAGCTAAGAAAATGGTACTGAATAGAATAGGTGTAAGTACACTGTTTCACACAGTTTCTGACGTAGAAAGGTTCAGCTAGTTCTCAATTCTCCTGGATTCTAACCTGAATTCCATCACACAGTTGCCTTACAATTGTGATAAACTTCTTTGGGCACCGTACTTTGCCATGATATTCCATAGACCCTCTCTGTTGATTGAATTGAACTCTTTTGTCAGGGTCAATGAAAGCCGTAAACAAATCGTATTGTTGTTCATGAATTGTTCTTGTAGCTGCCTCTCGGCCCACACCATATCTATGGTTTCATGCCCTTTCCGAAAGCTATAATGACAATTTTAGATAGCATTCCCTCATCAAGGATATCTAGGAGTATTCTTGCAAGTATTTTCTCTGCGAACTCATAGAAGGAAGATGTCCCTGTGAATGTTGCAGCCTAGGCGATTCCCTTTCAGCTTGTTGAATGTATCAGACAAACATAAACACAGATATATATATGTATACATATGTAGACAGACAGATAGACAGATAGGTAGGATGTAGATAGATAAATAGACAGACAGACAGACAGATACATAGATGATGTATTCAAGAATTAAATTAGGCCAAGCAAAAGGGGCAGGTTGAATTATAGTCACCAGATGGGAAGAGAAAAACTGGGTCATGTTGTGACAGCTGAAAAGTTATAGTAGAAGAGAGACTGGACAGAAATGATGATACTGGTGGACTAGAAGCAGATTTGTGTCTCTTGAAAAGTAGCATAAACCTAGTTACGAATATTTATGGTTTATAAAGTGATTAGTATTTTATTGTTTATGTACAGGAGGCTATTTTGATAGCGATGTCATCACTGGCTCCAAAGCTGAAGGCAGTCCATTAGTTCCAGCTGTCTTGATATCGATGTCATCACTGGCTCCAAAGCTGAAGGCAGTCTATTAGTTCCAGCTGTCTTCATAGCGATGTCATCACTGGCTCCAAAGCTGAAGGCAGTCCATTAGTTTCAGCTGTCTTCATATCGATGTCATTACTGGCTCCAAAGCTGAAGGCAGTCCATTAGTTCCAGCTGTCTTCATAGCGATGTCATCACTGACTCCAAAGCTGAAGGCAGTCCATTAGTTCCAGCTGTCTTCATATCGATGTCATTACTGGCTCCAAAGCTGAAGGCAGTCCATTAGTTCCAGCTGTCTTCATAGCGATGTCATCATTGACCCAAAAGCTGGAAGGCTGTCCCATGTTTACTGGCTTCCAGCTGTCTTCCAATATCGATGTCATTACTGGCTCCAAAGCTGAAGGCATCAGTCCATTAGTTCCAGCTGTCTTCATATCGATGTCATTACTCTGGCTTGCCAAAGCTGAAGTCAGTCCCATTAGTTCCCTGCTGTCCTTCATCGCGATGGTCATCTACTGGCTCCAAAGCTGAAGGCAGTCCCATTAGTTTCCAGCTGTCTCTTCATAGTCGATTTACATCACTGACTACAAAGCTGAAGGCGCCCATCAAGTTCCAGCTGTCTTGGTGATCGATGTACTCAACTGGCTCCCAAAGCTGAAGGCAGTCCATTAGTTCCCAGCTGTCTTGTATCGATGTCATCACTGGCTCAAAAGCTGAAGGCAGTCCATTCGTTCCCGCTGTCTTCATATTGTCATCACTGGCTCCAAAGCTGAAGGCAGTCCATTAGTTCCAGCTGGGATCTTCATATCGATGTCATCACTGGCTCCAAGCTTGAGGCATCCCATTAGTTCCGAGCTTGGTCTTGATAGCGATGTCATCACTGGCTTCAAAGCTGAAGAGGCAGTCCATTAGTTCGCAGCTGTCCATATATATCGATGTCATCACTGGCTCCAAAGCTGAAGGCGAGTCCATTAGTTTTCCAGCTGTCTTCATATCGATGTTCATCTACTGGCTCCAAAGCTGACAAGGCAGTCCATTAGTTTCCAGCTGTCTTCATATCGATGTCACGACTGACTCCACAGCTGAAGGCAGGCCATTAGTTCCAGCTGTCTTTCATATCGATGTCATCACTGGCTCCAAATCTGAAGGCAGTCCATTAGTTTCCAGCTGTCTTGATAAGCGATGTCATACACTACTTGTCTCCAAAGCTGACGGCAGTCCATTTTAGTTCCAGCTGTCCTTGATCTCGATGTCCATCACTGGCTACCAAAGCTGAAGGCAGTCCAATAGTTGTGCCAGCTGTCCTTGATATTGATGCTCATCAACTGGCTCCAAAGCTTAAGGCAGTCCAGTAGTTCCCCGCTGTCTTCATATCGATGTCATCACTGGGCTCCAAAGCTGAAGGCAGTCCATTAGTTCCCGCTGTCTTCATATCAACGATGTCATCACTGGCTCTAAAGCTTGAAGGCAGTCCCCATTAGTTTACAGCTGTCTTCATATCGATGGTCCAATCACTGGCTCCAAAGCTGAGGCCAAAGTCCATTAGTTCCAGCTGTCCTTTCATAGCGATGTCCTCACTGTCCTCAAAGCTGAAGGCAGTCCATTAGTTCCAGCTGTCTTTCATATCGATGTCATCCACTGGCTCCCTAGCTGAAGGCAGTCCAGATCAGTTCCAGCTGTCTTTGATTATAGATGTCATCATTCTGTCTCAAAAGCTGAAGGCAGTCCATTAGTTCCACTGTCTTCATATCGATGTCAATCAAACTGGCTCCAAAGCTGACGGCATTCCATCAGTTCTCAGCTGTCTTTATTCTCGCGATGTCAATCCTGACTCTAAGCTGCTAAGCAGTCCATAGTTCCAGCTGTCTTGATAGCGATGTCCATCACTCACTGGCTCCAAGCTGAAGGCAGTCCCATCAGTTCCAGCTGTCTTCATAAAGATGTACATCACTGCTCCAAAGCTGAGGCAGTCCCATCAGATTCCAGCTGTCTTGATTATCGGATGTCATCACTGGCTCCAAAGCTGAAGGCAGTCCATCAGTTCCAGCTGTCTTGATATCGATGTCATCATGGCTCCAAGCTGAAGGCAGTCCATAGTTCCAGCTGTCTTGATAGCGATGTCATCACTGGGTCCCCAAACTGAAGGCAGTCCTAGTTCCCGCGTCTTATAAAGATGTCACATGGCTCCAAAAACTGAAAGGGAGCCATTTGTTCCGCTGTCTTATACGGGTGTCACACTGGCTCCCAAAATGAAGCAGTCCATAGTTCCCGTGCTTTACGATGCATCAGGTCCAAGCTGAAGCAGTCCATATTCCAGCGTCTTGAAAAGATGTCATCACTGGTCCAAAACTGGGCAGTCCCTTAGTTCCAGCTGTCTTTAATTTGATGTCACATGGCCCAAAGCTGAAGGCAGCCAAGTTCCAGCTGTCTTATAGCGATGTCATCCTGACTCAAAAACGAAGGCAGTCCATAGTTTTCCCGCC